CCGCACGAGTTCTTTTGCCCAAAATAACCCCTTATTATGTCTCGCGAAATTATACCACTACTTGACGTAATGTTTTCAAAGGAGGTACATGTACGTGCATGTATGACTCGCTTTAATCGGTTGGATTGTTGCGGTTTTAGGATTGCGATGTCGCTACCTCGATCTCTGCTTTGTAGGGTTGCGTCGTTACCTTGCTCAATATTTTGAAGTATTTTGTCCTAAAAGCGGCATCGCCCAATAATTACAATATTCTTGATTAATCAATATCAATAGGAAAAGAAAGAATAAGTGAAATTCTAGAAGAAAGGACAAAGAAAGAAAACCCAAGGTAAGTGGATAAAGCGAATAGTACTCACAGTAAAATCAACTGTAACATCCCAACAATTTAGAAGGGAAATAAAACGCAACAAGCTTCCTTTAAACAAAACGGGTAGTGAAAGAACTGAAACGTAATTTCATGGTTCTATATTTCACCGATCACAAAGGATACCCTCCTCCCTAGCTGCACGATTCCGAAGTCTCGCTCACGGCCGGCAGATCCAGCCGCGTTTGGAAGAAAAACCGTTCCATGGAATACTTCTCCGCTCTCCAGCCGGCGGAGGCCCCCTGGGGCATTGTCGAGTAAGTAAGCCATTAATATTCAATCCATTAAGGCAAGAAAATAGAAGAAAGAAATCGTGACGGGGAAGTATAACACAAAGATCTGCGCTCCGCCATTAGCGGCATCGAAGCGAGGCTGCTATCCCGGAGAAAAGAGAAGAAAAGTTCATATTGTGAGAACGTCTCAGGGCCGGCAGAGTTCGTCGATTTATTAATTTTGCCGCCCCTCGTCAGCCCGGTTGGCTGGCCGTCCGCAACGGGAGATGATTGGCCGCCGTTTACCAAAACCCACCGACCGGAGAATGGAGCCTCGCCACTCACAAGGGAACCTGGCTTGGTTGTGATCGAAGTCTGATGATGAGTGCGAAAAGTTCCGAGAAAATACATCGGAAACAGTTCTCTTGCAGTGGAGATGAGTCCGACGGGAGAACACTTGACTTAAGAACAAATAACATGAAGTGTTTTTATGTAACTTTTCTCTGAAAACCGGTAATAAAAATTTAACAAATTAGCAGCTAAATGAAACATGTCTGAGATCTCGAAAATACGAGTATTAAGATATTTGTAAAATTACTTTAATGATGAAACGTGAAATTAGCTAACGTAATACTTAAAATTAGTGAAAGAATAACCGTGACTATTTGAAAACTTTAAGAAGATTACGAGGATCACGAGCAAGCTCTGTGCTTCGAAGATAAGCATAAAGGAAAACCACAAAAGTTTTCGTAATTGTTTTGATAATGTAACTGGGATATTTCTGAGAATAGCGACTCATTATCTTCCCGTGGGAGCTACGCGATGGAATGGTGAGTACTTTTATCCTTATCTGCCAGATGAGTATAATTGAAAAAAATTCAAAATATTTCTCTAAACGACACTACATAAATTTAAGCTGTAAAGCTAGAACATTAAATTCTATTTTCTAAAAAAACCAATATTTTACGTTTTTATGTTTTATTTAATAAATAAAATTTTACAAATCAAATGTATCCCAAAATACAATTTTAAAAGAACATTATTGTGAGAGAGTACAATATATCCGTGAAGTACATCGAAGAATTTGAAGATCACAAAAAGAAGATAACATACGTGTCTTTCATCTCAAAAATTCAAATTTCAAAATTCATTTGTAGATACATTTTGTGAAAGCAACTCACAATACGGATTCATCTGGTCCCATTACTTCCCCTTCTTTTCCAATATCGCATTTACAACGTTAAATCCATCTAAGATTAATAACATAATTTCCTTTGAACGTAGTAAGTGATCCGAGGGGATCAGGGAAGAAGGAATCATGTTGACAGTTTCCTCATCGCTTCGAAGGCACTCCCCTCCCTCCATCTAAGAGAAACAGGACGCCCCCCGGGGTAACTGAGTCAGCGCTGCTCGCCCCCAGGTCGGAATACTTGGCTGTCGTGGGAGCCTTCACCCCTCACTAGAGCTGCTCGCATGCAACGGCACTGGGTTGGGCAAAGGAGGGTGACGGAGACGGGGGAAGTGGAGAAAGTGTAGAAGGAGGAGGGTGACGGAAGCGGGGGGAGGAGTAGCACAGCAGATGGAGGGTTCTCACGGGGCGCGTGTCTTTTGCGTTTACACGATATGTAGCGTTCAGCAATGGATCCATGACAGGGTCTGATCTAAAGAAATGTGCTGAAAGAATGGGATTTTTCGAAATGGTTCAATTTCAATTGCAAAATTAACGCAAAAATTCCCGTCCAATGTAATTTAATGTTAATAGTGAATATTACTCTCTACAATACTTTCTTTTGTGAAAATGAACTACATTCAAATTAAAAAAGTAGATATTCATAGAACAATGTACTATTTTTTGAAAATTTGTACAGATATTTTTAGAGCTGAATTCCTATATTTTCTCGTGAAACTGCCTCACGCCTAATGAAAAGATTATTAAGTTTCTGTTGTCAGTTCTCGATTTGTGATTTTTTGAGGCGTTCAGACAAAGTATAGAGCTGCTCGCATGCAACGGCGCTGGGTTGGGCAAAGGAGGGTGACGGAGACGGGGAGGTGGAGAAAGAGGAGAGCGACGGAGGTGGGGGAGGGGAGGCGATGGAGGACAATGAGGAGAAGAAACACGACAAAGAGGAGGAGGAGGAAAAAGAGAAAGAGTAGGAGGACGAAGAAAAGGAGAAAGATGAGGAGAAGAAGGCGGAGGAGGAGGTGCATGACACCCGCCTTCCGTGTGCTATAATTGAACATTTTGTTCAACGTAATATAATTACATAAGAAATGTACGAAAACAAAGCGAGATAGACTTGTAATATATTTCCGTCGATATTTCGCAGATTATGGTGCAAATCCGGTATTATTTGTTTTCGTTTTAAAGGCGTTTAAAAAATGTTCTTCACAACATAACTCGATAAGGTCTTAAATACTGTCAAGTTTGTTTGTTGTTAGATTAAATTGTTCAAAAAAATCTCTGAAATAAAGCAGAGGATCAGTTTTCAAACTTATGAAGGCTGTAGCCTTCTAACTTTCTACAGGAGTGTAACCACTAAAATATGTCAAATTATTTGTAAACCGTAAAGTTGCTTGGCAATTCTCAGGCCCCAAATTTTGCAGTTGGATGGTTCAATGAAATTATGCTTCTTGGAAACGATTTAGGTTTAAAAAATATGCTCGGAGCTCCGAAAAGTGCACGATAAAATCTATTTACATAAAAAGGAGTGTTTTATTCAGTATTTTATGGTCTGACCGGACTGGATATGTGACATCGCAAACTTTTCCCGAAGAATGCCGAAGTCCTCAAATTACGTTCGCAAAGCTCGAGGTCTTCAAGAAAACTTCGAGGAGTGTGAGATCGAAGCACGTCAAGAATTACTCTTTTATTTTAATGTATCACGCGTAGAGAAGAACTCACCTGGAAGATCTGTTTCAGAGAGAAGAGCGCGCGTCTCAGCTCACGGCCCTCCGAGTTCAGCAATTTCTCTGAAACACAAGCACACGTGTAAGTTCCATGGGCAGGACCAAAGAGAAAAAGCAGACAGGCTTCCATAACTACTTAAGCTTTCATATTAACTAATCGCAGAAAAATAAGACATAACCATGTCAAACATTCCGCACGGGGAAAGATTATCGCTTTTGGCAAGGTTGATGGACCACGTTTTATATCGAGTGAATTGACGCAGCCTTGTTGGTAATTAGCGGCGATAATTACCAGACCCATCAGCCAGTGGGCGGCCACTGCGCGCGCGCACACACGCACGCACTCACTCACACACACACACGGACGCGCGCGCACACATACACACACTCACACGCACACAAGAGCGCACGCGCGTGTGTGTGCCCGTGCAAGAGCATGTGAGCAGGCTGTGCTCCGACATCCCGTTCTGGATTTAGGGAAGCGGCTAATGCGACCAGACGGAGACCGCTGCCGCCACCGCCGCCGCGGCGAACAGGTTACCGGTCAACGACCTGCACCCGCCGCCCATTCATTCGTCTCCGCGCCCCCCCCCCCGCGAGCGATTGCTCATCTACCGCCCAACCGCCTGCGAACAACTGCTCCCGGAATACGACGATCGCTCTCTTTGATGGGCTTTTTTTTTTTACGGGCAACGCTGGCATCTTACGAAGAGGATGTGCGAAAATAAGATATGAATGTGTACAGAG